ACACAGACGACCTTCTAACTTTCAGGTAGGGGACAGGATCTGGGTAGGTAAAGTCATCTGAACTGGGACAACAAATGGGAATCTCTAGAAAACTAATGCCAAAGTATTTTGGTCCCTGGGAGATCCTAGACATAGTCGGGGATAAGATGGACGGACCTTCCTATGTGGCACACATCCCACCTCACCTCTGTACACATCGAGTTTTTCATGCCTCAAAGCTCGCACCTTTCGCAGAGACTGCACAGTTTCCCTCCAGACGGTCAATGCTGCCCCCAACCATGGATGGTGAAGTCGACATCGACGGAATCGTTGAGCATCGAATGATGTCAGTGCCTAAACCGCCGGGCAGAGTCCGCCCTCCTAAACCGAGAATGCAATACCGTGTCAGATTCAGACATCATCTGGATCCCAAGGAAGATCGGTGGTTCACCAAAGAAGAACTCGTGCGAACAACACCTCAAGTTATTGCAGGCTATGAAAGAGAACTCAAAGGAAAGATGCCTGCAAAATAGAAGACTTCTCAAAGGACTATCGAAGAAAAGGAGGGAATGCGAGGATCTGGGTCCTCGGCAGGCCTAAGGGACCCCTGTTGCAGATGTGCCTGCCCTAAGTGAAGGCGGGCCTAACAAACCACGAAAGGCCCTGTGCTGTCAATTTCGTATTTGGGGTCCAGGAAGTTGTGACCCGCCAGTTGGTTGAGGGAAACTCGGGCCGAGCAGCAAAGACATTCCACGGTCCTCCAAGCCTTTCAAAAATGCAGGCCCTGGGCGAGAATCGCAGCCTCACACACAAACAATTGGGAGGCCCAACCAAACAGAGGCTCAACAGCTACATCGGAGGCACAGCCTCCTGGGGCCTACCGAAAGCTTCTGGGCAAAGGCCTAGGCCAGCCAGGCCGCCTATTGAGGCAGGCTCTATCCATATAGGAAAGAGTTCGCTGCCTGGGCTGGCATTCAACACTTGCATGCTAGCGGCAACGCTGCTGGAGCGGAAGCTCGTGGACTGCTGCTGGCGCTGAGAGGCAAGGTGCAAGCACGTGCAGTCGTGTGAGAGTCAGGGGGCTGTTGAGGGCAGCGCAATAGCCCATCCTTTATAGCTGGCTCGGGCTTGGTCTACAGTGAGGCGCAGGGGAGGTCTTCGGGTGTACAGAGGGAAGAGGTGGGAGTAAGACGAGGGAGAGAGAGAGAAGGCGGATGATGATGATGATGTGAGGGCGCATACCTGGTATTGGCTATGGTCTGCATCTGGGCAACATCTTCAAGTACTTCGTTGGGTGCTGACATCAACAGTTGCATTGTCAATTAGTAGACAAATCATAGTTGTGTAGGAAGTAGGCTCGATGTCGAGCGCCAAGTAGGAAGAAGGTCCTGGACTCTTATGTTGGTGGTGGCGAGAGCTAGCTCTCATTGACATTGGTTTTCATTGTTACGATTCTACATTGGTGTCGTATTGGTGCAATGCTGCTTTCTGGACATTGGGATACTTTCAGGCTTTGAATGTGATTGTGCATTCTGGACATTCTCATCTCGCTTCTGCTCATTTTCCTTGCACAGAAGAAATCGCGTAAATAATTCCGCAGAATATTCTAAGTTTCAAGAAAAAAAATACTCGTGATTCTCGAAAATTTCTGATTTCGTAGTTACGAATTTTGGCGCAAAACAAGGGGTTTCGATTTCTGACAAAAAATCGAAATAACAACTAGGCAGAGTTGAATCAGGAACGAATAATCAATCAATCAATCAATCAATCAATCAATCAAACCTAATTAACCAATAAATCAGTGAATGAATGAATCAATCAATCAATCGGCCGATTGGGTTGATTGATCGATCAATAATCTGGGAGTCCAGATTCACAAATGCCATCTCCGATACCAACTGATACATGCCCGCTCGAGCGATGTATGGGAGCCAAGGATCCGCAAAGTGATGAAAAGGACTCGTATGGACAATGTAGTGTCAGCCAAGCATCAACGAGCAATGTACATCCAAATACAATTGAAAATAGCGCAATGTAGCGCAACGGAAGACTTAAAGATATGACCTGACCTATCAAATACTCACGCGACACCACATCATGCACCACACATGTGAGAGAGGGAGGAGGGACCTCACTGAAGAACAGTCCCTCCTTGCACACGCACATGGGGGGAGATACCACGGACGAGAGATGGGGGGAGGCGAGACGAAAATGGAGGCGAGGGAGAAGACCAAGATCGCGATAGCGAAGTCCAAAAAGTAGTCCCTTGCTAAGTGTCCAATCAATGTCTGCCGCAAAAATGCCGAATCAGATCCTGGGCGTATGCCCGTGAAACCTCTGCCTGAAGTCTCTCTCTCTCTCTCTCGCGTGCGCGCGCACGCGCTCTGTGTGTGTGTGTGTGTGTGTGTGTGTGTGTGTGTGTGTGTGTGTGTGTGTGTGTGTGTGTGTGTGTGTGTGTGTGAGTGAATAAATGGCTGGGCGCTGCCTCTTGATTTATACTTCTATAACTTGTTGGTCTGCCCCTGTTGCATACTGTAACGATGCAGACCAGAACAAGAACCGACCTCTCAACACGAAGTACAAGATAGTGTAGCGGAAGACTTAGATACCAATGATCCGAACAATCAATATTGTACTACAGCCCCGAACATACATCATCATCATCATTCCATGGTGTGAAGGGGTCTGGCGCCCACACAGGAAGAATGTGCCAGCCCCAACCATACAGAGACGAAGAAGAGGGGGGTTAGACGAAGAAGAGGGGAAGATGGGGAATGTTGTCAACACCAAGTCTTCGGCACAGGCCCAAATAGTCCCTCGTCAAAATGTTTGAATCCCAATGTCGAGGCTGGATCCAATGTCGTCAAGTCTCAAGTCACAACTCTCCCTCTCTGTAGTAGTCCGCTGATACTGAGAAGTCAGGTGGCGAGAGGGGAAAAAGAGATGGTGGACTTAGAAGAGGAAGAAGAAGAACTCTCTCTCTCTCTCTCTCTCTCTCTCTCTCAGTCCGGTACTAACCTGTGAAGTTGGCGCCTTGATGCAGGTACCTCGAAGGTGGAGCTGGAGCTATGGCACCACAGGTAAGTCCCACCGGCCTCCGCCAGTCATCTCTCCCAACTCTACTACTACCACCTACTAGCGCGCAGCGCTGAAGACTACTGCTATGGCTACTAGCGCCCAGCGCTGAAGACTACTGCTAGCGCTAAGCTGCTCCTACAGCGCTCCTCCTGAGTGCTGCGGCCGAATCCTGAAGACTACTCCTGCCTTATGTCCAACTACCTCCCCGTGAAGTGCATGGGAACTCCCTATGTACTTCTCGGCCTGCCTCCTGACTGCAGGGCGAGGCAGTCCAGGAGGCTACTCTTGCCAATGCCGCAGGGAGGCAGGGGCTGCCACTGCAGCTCCTGCTTGAAGCTGTCGTGGGAACAGGCCAGAAATAGCCTGTTCCCGAAACCCTGTTTTTGTGCCTAAGTGTTAGGGTAGGTTGATCTTATGAGGGCCCGAAAGTGGCCCTCCGTTTCAGGCTGAAAAGCCTCAGGGCTGAAAAGCCTCAGGGCTGAAAAGCCTCAGGGCTGAAAAGCCATGGTTTAGGCTGAAACGACATAGGGCCTGCAGGCCCTCGTTTTTCAGTCTTTCAAGCTGAAACTACAGGGGCCTGTAGGCCCTTATTTCTAGGGTTTTAGGCTGAGAATGAGGGACGGGCCCTGCAGGCCCGTGTGGCTACACAGTATGCCACACCCCCCCCTCCTTGAAAGACCGAGCTTACCACCGAGGGCGAAGCTGTCTGTCTGAGGGAGGGACCACAGTCCGGGTGGGAGGGGCAGGTCGTGAAGTTCCCTGAGCTAACCTTTGTCGCTCGTAGTGAGCGTAGATCAGCGGTGCGGATGCCTTCAAATCTGTTCCTGAAATCCACCGAGTGTAGTCGAGATCGCATGCTCTGAATGTAACTTTGTACTGGCGAGGCTTGCTGCCATACTTGCGATCCGTGATGACGCGGTCAGCTTCCTGATGACCATCCATAGATGGAGGGTCCTGCGATCGTCGGCCCGGGAAGTCGTCGCTCTTAGCTGGTGTATATGTTGCCAGCTTCGAGGCGTGAAAGACTGGATGGACCGTCAGATGCGTCGGGATGTTGATCACAGATGAAGGTCCATCGGGCTCATCGCCCCTGGCTGATGTTACGGGCCATGGTCCAAACCTCTTGGGAAGCAATTTGCACGAAACATCCTGTTCCAGTGCAAACTCTTCCACGGAGACCCAAACCAGATCACCGGCGCAGATAGGACATGGCACGCGATGCCTGTTGGCTTGCTGCTGCATGCGGACTTGAGCCTTTTGCATGTTCGCGCGGGCTTAAGTCAGCAATTCCCTGTACTTCCGGTCGGAAGCGGGAGAGCAAGCGGCGTCGATGTCGGCTGGTCGTGGGAGGAGAAGGTCGGCGAAGATACGGCCTTGCCGTCCACCGTGGTGCAACTCGAATGGAGTCACGCCGATCACCGGATGCACCGAAGTGTTGTAGGCGAACTCGATGTCGGGGAGGCGGTCAACCCAATCTTTCTGGTCAGGACGGATGAGCGTACGAAGCATCATTTGAGTAGTTTGATGTGCCCGCTCCATTTGCCCGTCCGTTTGTGGATGTCGAGCCGAACTTGGTTTCATCTTCGTGCCGGACTCCTGCATGAGAGCACTCTAAAATGCCGACATGAAGCAAGTGTCGCGGTCGCTGACTATGTTTTCCGATACACCGTGGCCGCAGATCCAGCCGGTGTGCAAGAGGCGTGCCAGCTCGGGAGCCGTGGAGTAGTACTTCCAAGGGAGAAAACCCGCATACTTACTCAAACGGTCCACAACCGTCAGGATGCCGTCGTGTCCGAGGCGGTCGCGGGGGAATGGTCCGGTGACATCCATGGCAATGGAGAGACCGGGTTCCTCCGGGATCGGCATCGGGCGCAGCTCGCTGTAGGGGTTGCGGTTGCGGGGTTTGCTTCGTCGGCAAACTTCGCAAGAGTCGCAATAGCTCGTGACGTCGATGATGAGGTCGGGCCATCGGAATTGTTGTCGAAGCCGTGCAATAGTGCGGTTGACTCCGAAATGGCCGGCGAGTCGCTAATCATGATACTCGCCGAGGAGGCGAATCCGAAGACGGCGGCTGCGTGGGACACATAGTAAGTCCTTGCCCCGCGAGTGCAAGAGCAAGTACCCATCGGCGATGCGATAGTGGCTGGCCGGCGGGTGATCCGAGGATAGTTGCGCATATAGCGTGGCGAAATCCGTATCAGACTTGTAGCCCCGGATGAAGTGTTCCTGAAGTTCCTCGTCGAATGCGAAGGCATGATGTGTCATAGCGCAAAGATCAGGTCTTCGCGAAACTGCATCTGCTGCGCGATTGGAGAGGCCGAGGAGATGTTTCGGTGTGAAGTCAAATTGGTCGATGAAGTACATCCATCGTCCGATCGTGCTGCTCACCGTATAATGCGTCTCGTAGTAGGTCAATGGATTGTTGCTCGTCACCCATGTGAACCTATGACGCCCATGGAGGAAGTGCCGCCATCGCTTGAGAGCCATCACGAACGAGAGCAGCTCCTTCTTCCTTACATCATCAAGCGAGTTGATGGGAGGCACTTTGTGGCTGAAATACTCCACACAGTGCCATTCGTCGCCGTCGTGTTGTTCCAAGACTGCCCCAATGCCATAGCCGAAAGCGTCAGTTGTCACTCTCGTCGGCAGGGTGGTGTCATAGATGCCAAGGACGGGTGCCATGAGCATGGTCGTCTTAAGTGCTTGGAATGACCGGCGTGCGTCGTCATCGAATACGACTGGCACCTTTGGCGATTGTAATCTCGTCATAGGTGCGGCAATCCTTTAGTATCCGGTGATGAATCGTTGATAGTAGCCCGCCAACCCCATGAATGAACGAACGTCCGTGGTGTTGGTGGGCTCGGGCCATACGCGGAGGGCCTCGATCTTGTCCGCAAGCGGACGGATGCCTTGCGGCGTCACATAATGTCCCAAGTACTCCAGCTCCTGCCATGCGAATTCGCATTTGCCGCGGTTGGCTTTGCACCTGGCTTGTCGTAGCCGCTCCAAAACGGTGCGCAGGTGCTCCACATGCAGGTCTAGACTCCAGTTGTACACCAGGATGTTGTCGAGGTAGATAAGTACAAATCGATTTAGCATGTGTCGGAACTCCTTTGTCATAGCCGCTTGGAAAGTGGTCGGGGCATTCGTAAGGCCAAATGGCATAACCAGCCGTTTGAAATGCCCATATCGCGTCTTAAACGCGGTTTTGTAACGGTCCTCCTGCCGAATCTCGAGTTGGTGATATCCCGACTTGAGGTCAAGCTTGGAGAAGAACTTGGCGCCGCCCTGTCGTTCGAGAAGGTCGTCGATGCGTGGAAGAGGGCCGGCGTTTCTGATTGTTTGCGCGTTGAGCTTGCGATAATCGATGCACAACCGCAAATCCTTGTTCTTCTTCCGGACGAAGAGAACAGGAGCAACGTATGGCTCGAGGATGATCTCGTGGCGGATGGGCCGATCCGGTACTACTCCGTGCGGGCCTTCGAACATGTCGTCGTAGGCGTCGAGAAGCTCGGTGATGCGTGGGTCCGGAGATGAGTCCGTCGATCAAGCGCCATGGGGCGGGTGGGCGTGGAGAAAACACACCCCCATCTCCTCAATGTCGTCTTTGATGATGGAAGCTCGCAAGCTTGCGGCGGCGGACACCACGTGGCAACTGATCGAAGGGTGAGGAGGAGCCACTGTGCATGGGACTAGTACTCCGTTCCGATCACGAACGTGAACGGTGCGGCGGTAGAAGTTCACCGGGTGGTCCTCGCTTCGCAGCCATGACATGCCCAAGATCATGTCGAATTTGGTGTCCAAAATTTTGAAGGACATCGCCTCGCTTGCATGCGGGGCAAAGTACATGAGGACGTCATCTATGCACCGGTCTATTGACTTGTGCGTGTGACCGTCCGCCAACGTGACTTGCGTCGGCTAGGACTTCCTCCGGACGTGTGGGCCAAGGCTGACGCGTACCATAAAGTCCTGGCTTATGTAGTTGCGAGATGCTCCGCAATCGATCAAAGCGCTGCAGGTCGCCTCTCCAATCTGAATGCGTACATATAACAATAGTGCGTCGATGTCGTCGTACCATTGTGTCTTGAACTCGCGGTCGATCTTCGCAATGTAGGCGTGAAGGTCGACAATCTCGACTCTGGCGTCTATCAACGGAGTTGGTACTGCAGTGTGCAAATAATCCCGCAGTTGTGCCATGAGCACGTTGCAATGCGATTTCGGCAATCGATCGGACCGGGGAAGGGGCATCCATTAGAAGTCCGCAAACGTCAATAGGTCAAACTCTTCAAGTCTTGACCATGGCGTTGAATCCCCGGCGGTAGATGACGGCGAAGCTGCCGAATCGGTTGCTGATGGTGATGAAACCGTGCATGCGGTAGATTGTTGCACGTGGAGCGGTTGGTCCAACAGTGGGACCAAGTGGACAGCATAGTCCTCGTAAGTGTACCGAGGCCTTGCGACATGCGCATCCTCCCCAGATGTGTAGGAGGCCGCTAGCAAGGCGGCCGAAGCTGGCGGAGTGAGAGGTGAAGTCGCCTCACCTCCTGCGCGGCGGAACATCCTCCTTGCCTTCATCCGAGCATTGGGAGGTCTTGTGCGTGGTGTTGTTGCACCAATAGCAGCAGCCGTAGCGGCCGAGGTACTTGTACTCGGCCTCGGTCAAGTGAAACTTGACCCATGGTGCTGGCTGTCCGTTTCCGGCCGGCGATGCTGTTTTCGCCTTCTCATTCCCTCGGGACTTGTTGTTGCTTCGCGGCTGGACAGCAGTCACCTGATCTCCCTCACGTGACGCTTGGGTGGCTGCCGGGTCCTCCACAATGTTGTTCGATTGGACTGCAGCGACATGCTGCGGTCGCGGACCAGTTCTCACCTTCTCCACATAGGTTGGCTGCCATGATGACTTCTCGTGTGCAGCCGCCCTGTTTGTCTTGATGATCTCCCTCGCCTTGTCAATGATTTCAACGAAGGTTCCATATTGCTCGCGATCACCAAGTGCAAGGCTCAATGCAGCACATGACCTGTTGTAGAACTCGCGGCGCAGATGCGAAAATGGCAAGTCAAGATCGGGCGTTGCGGCGATCTTCTGCCATTCCGTGAGCCAGTCACGTGTTGCTGTGTTGCCTTGCGTCATGCCGAAGAGACGGTTGATGGCGAGTGCAGGTGCGTCGCTCATGATGAACCGCTTCTTCCATAGCCGTGTTAGCTCTTCCCATGAAATCTTATCCTTCAAATTTGCGACGTCGACGCCGTGGACGATTGCCAGGTGGCTTAACCAGATCTTGCATCCGCGCTTTGAGTTGAGAAACAGGGCGCCAATGTACAGGTGCTTGGCGACGAACAGAATCCGAAGTTGCGTTGTAAAGCCCTCTCCCACCAGAGGACCGGGTCTTGATGCGTGTAGTCATCGAACTTCTCAATTTGGAATGTCGGCATCTTATAATGTGTTGTGTTGTTGCCATCCTTGTTAGGCAGCTGCAGTTGCTGGACCTCGGCCTTCAAGGTGTCCAGCTGTTTGCTGATGGTGGTTGGCGCAGCGAAGGTGCTGATGTCGCCGAGCATTGCGACGACGTGGTCGACGCGTTCCTCCAGTTGGCGGGTAGAGGGTGCACTGCTGGACTCGCCAGCCTCCGGTCTTGGTGCAACTTGCTCCAAGTCCTGCATACGGGAATCAAGTGCCCGTGCTGCATCCTCTTGCTGAGCCTTATGGTTCCGCATGGCGCGCTGCATATTCGCCAGCTCGGACTGCAGGTGGTTACAAGTGTGCTCCTCGGATGGTTCAAAGTGCCAAAACTTGAGCCTTTCAATGCTGGTGGCTTCATGCCGCTGTAGCAAATCCTGGGCTTCCTTGCGGCGTGCCTGGGTATTTGCGTCTGCTTCGGCCTGTAGCCGCTGCTTCTCAGCTGTTGCCGCTGCTTCAGCCTGTCGGCGGGCAGCCTTGGCTGCCAGTTGGCGCTGTTCCTCAGCCTCGATCAGTGCGAGCTGAGTCTGGAACCGCTGTTTGTAGTCGGCAACAGACTCGCTGGCCAGTTGGCCTGGCATGCCCAAAGTTAAGCCCGTCATGTTGCTGACGTGGCTCTGCTGACGTGGCACTGCTAACGTGGCACTGTTGCTGATGTGGCACTGCTGACGTGGCACTACTGACGTGGCACTGCTGACGTGGCACTGTTGCTGATGTGGCACTATTGCTGACTTGGCACACTGGCTGACGTGGCACTGCTGACATGGCACTGTTGCTGATGGCACTGTTGCTGATGGCACTGCTGACATGGCACTGTTGCTGACGTGGCACTGCTGACGTGGCACTGCTGACATGGCACTGTACCAACCCGGAAATGCATGCAAAGGGGTGGGTGGGAGGGAAAACGCAGGTAGGGAACCAACCCAACAATACTTTCCTCCCGGCCCTAATCAACAGATAAAAAATAAAAAAATAAAAGAGGACTACTTCCTTTTTTTTTTTTTTTTTTGTGTATATCTATCGATCTATTATTAGTGAGACATGTCAGAAGAGTACTATGAGCGAGATCTAGGCTAGGATCCGCATAAGTTTCGGCTTTCATAAAAAATGTTATCTTGAAAAAAAAAATTTGCGAAATAGAGTAGAGATGCGATTTTCAGAAAAGAACTTAATCCTATTTCTGAGAATATGGCAACCTTCTAATATGCCTATCGAAATGCTGGTAGGCTTTGCAAGATTTCAGTTTTCAAAAAAAAAATTGCAAGATAGAATGGAAATTCGATTTTCAGAAAACAATAAATCCGGCTTCCGAGAATATGACCACTTCTATCGTTATCCTAATATGCCCAGAAAACGAAATGTTAACATCAGAAATTTTGACTATGTATGCGAAATATCAGAGAAACGAAATGCTACTATTAGGAATTTTCAGATAAAACGAGATGCGATTATCAGAAATTTTCAGATATTTGTTGCATGAAAACGAAACACTAATATCAGAAATTTTCAGGTAAAACGAAATGCGATTATCAGAAATTTCCAGATATTTGTTGCGAAAAAAAAAATTCAGAGATTTGGCGAAGTCCTACTTTATTTACTAATGAGTGATCAATAGATCAAGCAAGCTGGCTACTTGATTGAGCGGGTCCTCTGAATGAGAGGTCCGATCCGATACCAAACTGTTGCATACTGTAACGGTGCAGACCAGAGCAAGAACCGACCTCTCCATACAAAGTACAAGATAGCGTAGCGGAAGACTTAGATACCAATGATCCGAACAATCAATATTGCAATGCAGCCCCGAACATACATCATCATCATCATCCCATGGTGCGAAGAGGTCAGGCGCCCACACAGGAAGAATACGCCAGCCCCAACCATACACAGACGAAGAAGAGGGGAAGATGGGGAATGTCGTCAACACCAAGTCTTCGGCACAGGCCCAAATAGTCCCTCGTCAAAATGTCTGAATCCCAATGTCGAGGCTGGATCCAATTTCGTCAAGTCTCAAGTCACAACTCTCTCTTTCTGTAGTAGTCCGCTAATACTGAGAAGTCAGGTGGCGAGAGGGGAAGAAGAGATGGTGGACTTAGAAGAGGAAGAAGAAGAACTCTCTCTCTCTCTCTCTCAGTCCGGTACTAACCTGTGAAGTTGGCGCCTTGATGCAGGTACCTTGAAGATGGAGCTGGAGCTATGGCACCACAGGTAAGTCCCACTGGCCGCCGCCAGTCATCTCTCCCAACTCTACTACTACCACCTACTAGCGGGCAGCGCTGAAGACTACTGCTATGGCTACTAGCGCCCAGCGCTGAAGACTACTGCTAGCGCTAAGCTGCTCCTGCAGCGCTCCTCCTGAGTGCTGCGGCCGAATCCTGAAGACTACTCCAGCCTTCTGTCTAACTACCTCCCCGTGAAGTGGATGGGAACTCCCTATGTACTTCTCGGCCTGCCTCCTGACTGCAGGGCGAGGCAGTCCAGGAGGCTGCTCTTGCCAATGCCGCAGGGAGGCAGGGGCTGCCGCTGCAGCTCCTGCTTGAAGCTGTCGTGGCAACAGGCCAGAAATAGCCTGTTCCCGAAACCCTGTTTTTGTGCCTGAGTGTTAGGGTAGGTCGATCTTATGAGGGCCCGAAAGTGGGCCTCCGTTTCAGGCTGAAAAGCCTCAGGGCTGAAAAGCCCTGATTTAGGCTGAAACGACATAGGGCCTGCAGGCCCTCGTTTTTCAGTCTTTCAGGCTGAAACGACAGGGGCCTGTAAGCCCTTATTTCTAGGGTTTTAGGCTGAGAATGCGGGACGGGCCCTGCAGGCCCGTGTGGCTACACAGTATGCCACAGCCCCTCTCCACCAGGCCTATGGTGCACACAGTCCCTCATGGTACTTGCTTGACTGGACTGGGACTGACTGGACCGGTACCGCTGACTGCATGGGTTTGCACTGCCAACTCAATGCAGTCGCACTGCCGGCGTAATGCAGCTGGGCTCACCACTTGCCCACTTGCCTTTGACTAAAGCGTGAGCCAGCTTCGAAAGGCCACTTCCGGACCTTCCGGAAGCCCGTGGACTTGGCCTTTCGAGTACTGTAGCAGCTACGACCTTGACCTTTCAGGACTGTAGCAGGTACGACCTTGACCTTTCAGGATTCCTTCAGCTACGACCTCTGCAGGGCTGTGACTCCTACTTTACAGATCTACAGATCGAACCCCTACCATTACACAGACCTACGACAGACAACAACAACTCTCAAAACACAGGTCACGGGTTCAAACACTCAGGGTAGACACAGATACTGTACACAGGTAAAGTGAGGACTAGGGATCGAGCCCTGGGACCTGCATCCGCTACTGCTAACAGGTGAATACCGTTTGACTCCCGCCGGCCTAAAACTCCAAGAATAGCTCAGTCTAAGGCAGGACCTTTTCCCTTCCGTTCTCTCTCGTAGGCTCTCACTATGTCGGAAGCTGATTCTAGAAGTTCAGTCCAAGTAAACCAGCGATCATCCTCGGGTTCGTGATATGCAAATCGAACCTTATACTGTTTCTGTGGACGACCTCTACCTCCCGTTCTGAATATGTCTTCACCAACAATGCCGTCAATGTTGTATCTTCCGTCCATGCCCGGAGGGATCATGGGTCTTCTAGATGGAAACTGTTGGCTTGTGATACATGGCAATAACTTTGACGCATGAAACACGGGGTAGATGTTGAGGTGTGCTGGGATTTCTACTGCGTAGGACGGTCCATCCTCTCCGGCCTTGACTTCTAGGACTGGCCACGGTCCTCTGTACGCTGGTAATAGCTTCTGTGAGATGTTCTCCTCAGGAGCAAATTCTTTAGACTTGACCCATACTAAGTCGCCTATTTGAAACTGCGACGGGCGACGGTGATTGTTGGCTTGTTCTATCATCCGATGCTGGGCCTTCCCGAGGTTCTCTACAACGGTAGCTAATTCCTTCTCGTGCTGAAGTGCAAACTCCCTAGTTCCGGGCGGTAGCCTCTGAATCTGGTCCCGGTCTTCAAATGGTATATGCGGTGTGAAAAACTTACGCAACTCGTTGGGAGTGCGACAAGTAGCTAAATGCACGCTATTGTTGTATGCACTGGCTACCTTTGGGAGCATCTCATCCCAATTGACTTGATCCGGTCTAATGTACATACGCAGAACTTGCTGCAGGATCTTATTCATTTGTTTAGTCTGACCGTTAGTCTCTAGGTGACGGCCAGATGACATCAACAACTTAGACCCATACACACTCATCAACTCGTGCCGGTTCTGCCTAGTTAAACGGGTGTCTCTATCACTAACTATAGACAGCCGAATCCCGTGTTCACTGACCCAATGATCAAAAAACGTTTGGATGACTAACTCTGTTCGTGCCTCCGCAAGCAACGGAACAAAAACTGCATACTTGCTAAATCTATCAACTATAACCATGACTTGTCACTTGTCGTTCCTACTCTTGACATGGGTGTCCATAAAGTCAATGGGCACTGAGTCCCCCGGCTGGTCAGGAATAGGCAAGGGCCTGAGAAGACCTAGAGGGGGACATGTAGAGGTCTTGTTGCTCTGGCAGACCTTACAAGTGCAAACATACTCTATGCAGTCGGCCTTCATCCCAGGCCATATGTATGCGCGCATGAGGTTGGCTAGAGTCTTTTGCCAACCAAAATGTCCCTCGGTGTCGTGGCATTCCCCTAGAATCAAACTACGCATCTCCTCACTGTTAGGAACGCACAATCGGTCAACCACGCCAGTCTTCTCAAATAACAGTCCATCAGTAGTGCGGTAGTCTGGTTCGGACTCTGGGGCCTCCTTTACTCTTTGAGGAGGGCACTATAGATAGGGTCCTGGGCATACGCCTCTCTAACTTTCTGTTGCACGTCTCTCCTTATATCCATATAATGAACTATCGCTCCAAAGTAGTCAACTCTCCTACTCAGAGCGTCCGCAACTACATTGTACTTCCCTTTTACTGGCTTGAGATCAAAATCATATTGGTCTAACTCTGCAGCCCACGTTGTAAGCTTAGGTGTCATATTGGCCTGAGTTTTCAGCCACCTTAACGTCTCGTGGTCTGAGTAGACTTTGAAGTGCCTCCCAAGAAAGTAGTGTTTCCAGTGTTCTAATGCTTGCCTGAGAGCGTAGAGTTCCCTTTCGTAGGTGGATGTCGCTACCTTTTTCGAAGGCATCCTAGCAGACATGAACTCTACGGGTCTATATCCACTGCCATCGTCTTGCTATAATACAGCACCTGGCTCTATGCCATAAAAGAATCATCTTAAGAATGGGAAAACCTTATTTAGCAACTCGTGGAGCTATTGTATATCCTAGAAATGGAGAAACGATTAGCGAAGGAAACACCCTTAGCAGTAGTGACGACGAAAGGTAAGGACGGATCGGCTACCTTAAGGACTTGATACTCTATTAATACATGCTTCAATTTCTTCATGGCAGACGTGCAGTCCTTGTCCCACTTCCAAAATGTTTCTTTCTTCAGCAACATGCGAAGGGGTGCAGCGATGGTGGAGAAGTTTCTCACAAACTTCCTGTAATAGTTGGCTATGTCTAAGAACGACTGCAACTCTGTCAACGTGCGGGGCGTAGGCCAATCCCTAATCGCTTGAATCTTGCTATCTTCTGGTTTAATGCCGTCTCCGTCTAAGACATGGCCTAGATACAAAACTTGGGTCTTTGCCCATTGGCCTCTCTCGGCTTCTCCAAGACCTACCTCAGATGACCCTCATGGTCCTGGAGGGGCCTACTGAACACTAGAATATCATCTAAGTTGACTACTATAACCACGGCCTAAACAAGTCGTTCATAAAAGACTGGCTGGCGTGTTGGCCAGTCCAAAGGGCATAACTATAAACTCGTAGTGCATATCTAGTCTGGAACGCGGTCTTATACTGATCATCAGGATGAACCTCTATCTGATGATAACCGGACTTCAGATCTATTTTTGAAAAATACTTGCAACCCTGCACCCGATCTAAAAGATCATCTATACGAGGCGGTGGCTCCTCATTCTTCACTGTGATAGCATTGAG